GTGGTTTGATGAATGGGACCCATTACACTTCCTCAGACAACATCTTGATGAAGCTGATTAATTGCTTTTCTTGACGGTTTTCTCCAAGTGAAGAGTTTCAAAGCCTGGCGATCACTTTCAATCAAGCGGAAGGCCATTTCAAAACAAACTCCAACAGGCTCGCCTCGTTTATAAAGCCGGGTTTCGCATTCATACATAATTAAAAACACCAACTACACTCTGACAAACTGTTTATCTGCTTTCATCTTTCTAAAACGTCTCTCTCGTTCCTCTCTTCTGCTGCTTCCCATCTCCTCCCTCTTCCCCCTCCGCCTCTTTGAATTACACTTCCCTGCATGTAATGGCTTTATGTTATGGAGGAAAATAAAAGTGTGTTGAAGTACAGCCCTTATGAGCTGCTCTCTCCACTACACGTTACGCTAGATTAGCTTCATTTGCAGTGCTAGAACAAAAATCTACAACCCATGGCTTTGCAGCACACAAAGGCCTCAAATACTTATCAATGCAGTCCAAAACTGAGTCTATATTACTCACGGAGAGAAAAGCATTTTCTGCAACACTGCTTCATCCACCTACATGAAAGCGACACATATTGATTGTTAGCTGAGATGATGACGTAAAACCTGTCCACACAAATTATATTACTGTTATATAACCAGGACTGCAACTAGGGTTATTGTGCAATAGTGAGACGTCTAACTAATTTATTTTATTTATTTCATCGGTGAAAACCTTCATTAAGCACAAGTTACTCATTTTTCAGGAGATATCTCTGAGGAGATTAGATACAAGAGAATGTCAAAGGAAATTAAGTGAGAAAAACAAGAGTTCACAAAACTTGAGTTCAAAAAATTATGAAAAAAACTCATAACAACCATCTGAAGGACCTGGTAGACCACCAGAAAATCACTATCACTATCATCAACAGCATCACCATTAAAGCTTTCATCTTTGAGAGAGAGGAGAAAATCAAGCTCCACTCTTGATTCAGATCAAAAAATCCACAGGTGTTTCTGTCCATCCTTCCACTGTGAGAAGACAACTCAGTGCTATGGGTCTGAAAGGATGGGTAGCTGTCAAGAAGCCCTCACTGAGAAAAAGAAATAGACAAAAAAGATCTGGAAAAAAACAAAAACAATGAACTGACCACTCCAGACCTAAACATCACTGGATGTGTTTGAATTACCTGGACCATGAGAAACAGAAAATGCAACCAACTTCTAAGACTGAACTTTGGAGGTGTGGAAAAATACCCTCTTCAGATTTCTTGAACTGAAAGCAAGTCTTCTGAAAAAAATCAAAAGCTATAATAACGGCAAAGAGTGGACCACTAAATACTAAAAAAAAATGATACAGTGACATGCAAAAGTTTGGGCACCCCAGTCAAAAATTCTGTTACCGTGAATAGTCAAGTGAATGGAGGATGAATTGATCTCCAAAAGACATAAAGATTAAACATTCTATTCAACATTTTAGTGTATTATTTTGGTTTTGTCTAATTTTAGAATGGATTTTAGAAAAAGGAAAGGAGCACCATGCAACTGTTTGAGCACCCCAACAGATTTGAGCTCTTATAACTTTTATCAAGGTCTCAGACCTCAAGGAGCTTGTTAGGGCAATGGCTTGTTCACAGTCATCATTAGGAAAGGCCAGGTGATGCTCATAGGATTGCTAGAAAGGCAAATCAAAACCCCCGTTCGACTGCAAAAGACCTTCAGGAAGATTTAGAGTGTGTTTTGTGCACTGTTCTACTGTACAGGAACACCTGCACGTCAGAAGAAAACCTTTCCTGCGTCCTCACCACAAAATTCAGCAACAGAAGTTTGCAAACCAATGCCTAAACAAGCCTGATGCTTTTGGAAACATGTGAACTGATGAAGCTAAAATAGAACTTTTGACCACAATGAACAAAAGGTATGTTTGGAGAAATAAAGGGTTCAGAATTTCACAAAAAGAACGCCATTCCAACTGTTAAGCACGGTGGGCTTTGAGCTTGTGTGGCAATGAGTGACACAGGGAACATTTAACTGGTAGAGGGAAGAATGGCTTCAATTAAATACCAGCACATTCTGAAAGCAAACATCACACTGTCTATAAAAAAGCTGAAGATGAAAAGTGGATGGCTTCTACAACAGGATAATGATCCTAAACACACCTCAAAATCCACAAAGGAGTACCTGAAGAGGCGCAAGCTGAGGGTTATGCCATGGCCCTTACAGGCCACCTGCCTAAACATCATCGTAAATCTGTGCATAGACCTCAAAAAGAGTAGTGCATGTAAGACAATCCAACAATCTCACAGAACTAGAAGCCTTTTGCAAGGAAGAACGGGCGAAAATCCTTCAAACAAGAAGTGAAAGACTCTTAGCTGGCTACAAAAAGCATCTATATGCCGTGACACTTGCCAAGGAGATCTACAATGCAGGGTGCCCAAACTTTAATTTTGAGCACTTTTCCTTTATTATTATTCAGAAACTATAAATGATGGAAATAAAAAAGAAACCTTGCTTAAAATATTAGAGAAATGTGTCATCTTTAACTTTATGTCAACAATTTTGACAGGGGTTCCCAAACTTTTGCAAGCCACTGTATATTTAGTTGTTGAGGCTTCTGTGTAATTTTCTGTTAAATACATATTTCTGCTTTTTCTTCCTGATGCTGCAAAATAAATAAGTTGCACTTAATGGTAGTTTTGACTGGAATTTGAATAAACGAAGGGAGCTCTCTGACTTTTGTGCAGTGCTCTCTCTACCAATGCAGACATATAAACATTTATAAAATGCTGCAATTGGGACGAGATCCATCTGGATTAACTTAACCGAAAGATGAAACATTTATTTCTGCTGTAAAATGAATAAAATGCAGACATTTTTCGCGCAGTAACCTCATGTTGCCTCACACTCTGCTCTGCTGAAGTACAATAAATATGTCATCAAATAGCCACTTGAAGTATTGGTCAAATCCAAACATCTGTCCAGTGATGATGACCTTTTTTAGGCAAATATCTGCTGATACTGATATGCATCCCTAGTTTAAATATTATATAACTGACACTTTTACCACGTTTTATGAAACCACACACTTCTGTGGAGAAATGTGTGTTTATGAAGCTAAATGCTACCTCATAACCAGCAGCATGCAGTTGCCAGCTCTGCAAACCAGACTCTATTTATGATTTATGAGACTCTGTTCCTAATCTGGTTTGAGGTAACAAATCCAGTGCAGTCTAAATCGGTTTTCTTCTGCACTGGATTGCTAGACAGCCGCCTGCACTGATGTAGTGGTGGTGTGTTAGTGTGTGTTGTGTTGGTATGAGCTGGTCAGACAAAGCAATGCTGCTGGAGTTTAACACATCAGTATCTCTGCAATGCTGAAAATGATCCACCACCCAAATAACACCTGCTCTGCGGTGGTCATATCGACCAGGGTTGCTTAGCACCAGTCTCACAGTTCACCTGCACTGCATTCTTTCATGTCTTGCCTGCCATCATTAGCTAATGATAAAGTCCTTCTGGGGCTAAAGCAGGTGCGTTAGAGCAGGAAAAACACAAAACTGTGCAGCACAGCCAGAATGAAGCAGCGAAGAGAGAAAACACAGATGCAGGTGTTGCTAACTATCCCAGTCTTGCATATCATTGCAGTCATATTAAAATCTTTAAATTCTGTAAACATTTCATGACATTTCACGGGTCTCAATACCAATACAATCTTTACATTAGCATACACTCTTAACAAATATGGTTCTTCAATGGTTCTTTAGTAAAGAACTAAATGATTAACTAAATTATTGCATGAATATTGGTGTTTTTTGCATCACAAAGGGTTCTTCAGATTGATTGAGAATGTGCTGTAGAAGGTTTTATTTAGAAACTTTTTGGTTCTATATAGCACCAAAACAATTACAGTAGAAGAACCCTTTTTGGTGCCATTTAGAATCCTCAAAAAGGTTCTATATAGAACCATCTCCATCAAAGTGGAGAATCCTTGAACCGTTTCATGATGCAAAGAACCCTTTAATCAGGCAAAGGATTCTTTAAGTGTTCATGGATCTACACAGAACCATTTTCTTGAACAAAGAACCCTCGAAAAACCTTCTTTTTTATGTGTGTAGAAGTTTTTACACTTACCAGTTTGGAGATCCACCTTTTCATCCAATATTTCCCCTGAAATCAAGAGGATTACTAGGTGGGTTTGTCCCCTTTTTGCTGCAATAACAGCTTGTACTTTCCTGGGAAGACTTAAAACTAGATGTTGGAACGTTGCTGTGAGGATTTGATTGCATTTGGCCTCAAAAGCGTTAGTGAGGTGAGTTACTGATGTGGATGATCAGTTCTGGATCACACCAACTCATTCCAAAGGTATTGGATGGCGCTCCATCACTCCAGAGAACACAGCTCCACCGCTCCACAGCCCAATGCTTGGGGGGCTTTCTGCCCCTCATGCTTGGCATTAGGTGACCTTTGGCTCATGTGCGTCTGCTTCAGAGCGCCCCATTCTATTGGTCAGTGCTTGAGATTATACCAGCTGTGTTATTGGCTGTATCAGAAATTAGCTCACTTATTAGGAGGAAAATCTGTTCAGCAAGGATAGAACACTGTTCTGTTCTCATGAAGATTTCTTTCATTTTGTCTAGTGTGATTCATGCATTCATAAACCACAAGAAGAAGATATTTTAGAAGATTTCTGGACTAAATAGGTGTAGGCAAGCGAAAGCTAGACGATAATAGGTAATGAACACACAAGATGGGTTGAAGAAGTCAAGAGTGAGCAGATGGTGTGGGTTGTTGTATTTGTGGTAGGACGGTAGGATACTGAGATATTATATAAAGAGTTTCAGATCCGATTTTTTTTTATACTGATCAATTTTATATCTCCTTTCACTGCCACCACATTGTGATGCAATATTTCGGCCACCCTAGTTCAAAGGGAATTTTCGATTTGTGCACAGAAGCAAATTCTGTTGACGCTATTATATCTACAAAAACAGCTTTGATACTCACGGAGTTGACTTTCATGAGGAAGTTTGTCAGCTTCTTGGACCTGAAGAGAAAGAAAAGAGGGGAGAGAGAGAACAGGCATTACTGGCTTAGCACAGTGTGCAAAAGGACCACGAAGTAAACAAAATATCCCACTCAGAAACCCTGCACACACCACGTCTGTTGACAAGCAAATCCCACACAGTGTTAAATGAAAGAGCTGCCTAACGACCGAATGTGGAAAAGCTACAGAAAAAAAAAAAAGAGATAGAGAAGAAGAAGAAGAAGAGCCACTGCAGACACTCGCGGGAGCATTCAGAGCTGTCGTCTGTAAACAAATTAAGAATCCCCAATATGAAAGTCTTTTCTCTCTGCATATGTTTGTCATTCAATTACATTTCTAAAATGCCAATAAGTGCAGAGAGGATTCTCCAGCTTGTTTGGCTTAATAAGCTGTGATTCACCATGTCATTAGTTCGCCTAATTGTGGGGTTTTAGAGCCTGGAGCGGCAGCCACCTCAGCCTGGAGTGCATCCCTCATTTAGGGCGTTAGGTCCTTTATTCCCCCACAAGAACTCTCGGCGTTGGCAGCCGACCGGGGTGGAAAGAGTAAATCAATCACACCTCAGCTTTCTGCCGCAAAACTCGGAAGGCACCGTCTCCTCCGGCACCCTGAGTTTCGAGCCTTTAGGGAAGGGAGTCGAGATCTGAAAGAGTCCCCGAGGTGCTCTTCGCTCCCCCTCCTCGGATCGTGCAGTATTAGCAGAGAACGAGGAGCGCGGAATAAGAGGGGGCTTTGATTTATGACTACCTCTCTGCTAACAATTACCGCGCTACCCCAGCTCTGAGCAAGCCCTTGGAGAGAACAATTTAAACAAGTCATATATCCACAGACGGGGTCAGACGTGGCACGTCATTACGGCTCTGGAGTGGGCGAAGCTGAATCACCGTCGGTGAGGTCATGAATCCAAGATGTTAGCATGCCAGGCCTGCTGCAGCCTTGAGGAGAGAGAGAACTATCTCTCTCTTCCTCTATTGATGCCCACGAGAGACCTGTGAATCCCAAAAAAGGCAGGAACATACAGTATCTTCCGACTCAAGTTATTGCCTCAGTTGTTTTGCTGCTAGCTGCTAGCGTTCAGATGTTCAGCAACATTTTCCACTTGCGTGGGTTATTTTTTTTCAGATTCTTCTATTTATGACATCATTAGACGAGGAACCTGTCACGAATCTGTTTGAGGATAACAGGAAGCAACGCAAGAGTGAGGAAGGCAGTGGCCCCAACTAATCTTCCACGTTCCGTGCGACAAGAATTTCACTAAGTGTTGTCACATTTTTTTGATCTGATCGGAATGAGAGGCAAATTTATGCATGGGCCAACGAGACCACATCAGACCTGATTTGATTCAGTGCCAAGGGTGGATAGCAGGCATTGACTTAATTAGGCTCACTAGCTTAAGTGAAGCCCATGGGTTTCTTTCCTCATCTTCACATATGCTCACAGATGCCAAGGCAAGGCCAGAGAACAGGCCACCACAAGAACAGCAGTCTGAATGTGAATCCAACGGAACAAAATAAGTCAGGTGTTTATACTCCTGGCATGGATCATCACTTTGTTACTCATGCAATAGATTGACTCTACTCAGTAATCTTCAGGGCATCAAAACATTCTATAGGTTCTCTCTGCTCAAAAAAGCATGTTGTGGATGTGTTGTGTAGCTGCCTGTTACCCGTCTACCTTGTATCTACACTCATTGCTATTTTATTGGATGCACCTACTACAAGCACTTTGTAGGTTTCCAATTGCTGGCTGTAGTCCATCTGTTGCTGTACAAATTGTCAGCCCTCCACCACCATGTCCATAAACATGAGAGACCACTACAGAGTCACTAATGACCAGATATTATTTAGGGGCAGATTTTTTAAAATCTCAGTGTCACTGCTTGGTTGAAAATAGTATGTCAACCAAACATATCCAGCCATCAGTGGTTGAAAATTACATATATATTACAATTTTACTTGCTGCCCACAGGACGCTGTTGGCTGGATATTTTTGGTTGGTGGACTATTCTCAGTCCAGCAGTGAAAACTCCTGCAGCACTGCTGTGTCTGATCCACTCAGACCAGCGCAACACACACTAACACACCACCACCACGTCAGTGTTACTGCAGTGCAGAGAATGATCCACCACCCAAATAGTACCTGCTCTGTGAGGTTCCATGGGGGTCCTGACCACTGAAGAACAGGGTAAAAGGGGGCTAACAAAGTATGCAGAGAAACAGATGGACTACAGTCTGTAACTGTAGAACTACAAAGTGCACCTATATAGTAAGTGGAGCTGACAAAATGGACAAGCGTAGAAACAAGGAGGTGGTCATAATGTTATGCCTGATCGGTGTATATATGTAAGGGACTGTGTCCAATGGTATCCAGAGTTGCAAGGCAAAAACCACTGCAAACCAAGGGGAACACAAAGAGAAAACAACTTGATGACAATTCTTTTTATAATAATTTTCTCTGGAGACAAAATTGGAACTTTCTGGAAGGCAGACGTCTCTTTACATTGGGCATAAAGTTAACACGGCATTTGATAACAAGAACATTATACCAACAGTGAATCATGGTGGTGGTAGTGTGATGGTGTGGGGATGCTTTACTACTTCAGGGCCTAGACGACTTGCCACAATTGATGGAACCATAATTACTGCTGTGTACTGAAAAATCCTGCAGGAGATTGTCTGGTCATCAGTCCATGATCTGAAGCTCAAGCTCAAGTCCATCTCCGAATGGCTCCAAGGCAACAAAATTACGGTTCTGGAATAGCTTAGCCAAAGTCTTGGCTTGAACCTAATTGAGATGCTGTGGAAGGACCTTGAATGGGCAATTCATGCTCAATGTGGCTAGATTAAAGCAATTTTGCAAAGAATGCATCCAAATTCCTCTACAGCGATGGGAAACACTGATTGCAGCTGTTGCTGCATAACCACGGGTGATGTAGGTGTTGCAGAAGTTTGTTTGATGTGACAAATATGCAAAAATAAGGTAAATCAGTAGTGGGTACATACTTTTAATAGCACTATATGCCTGTATTAAATATTTTATATTACATTTATATACACAGATATACTGAAACAACTGTATGAAAAATAAGCCACATCTCTCCTCCATGTAGCAAGAACTGTGGTCAGATGAAAAGTAAGCCTGCTGAAAGAACAACACAACAGTTTCCAAAACTGATTTTACAATGACATTTCCTCTTTTTTCTTCTTTCCCTCAGGCCTGTCCTGAACCTGAAACTACTACATAGAAAACAATCCCAAATCTATCCAGCCACTCTCCTCACCACAACACAAAAAGAGGAAAAAAAATAAAAATAAAAAAAAAAGAAGAGAGAGAGATCACAGTGCATGGTGACAGGTAACCAGGCAACAAGTGCAAAGGGAAAATGTCTATATACTTCACTGCTTCACTGTCCCTACAACGCAAGCGCCCAAACATGTACCAGCTAAAGCAATAATCTAGTCACTTCAGGGGAGCTGGGACGCACCGAGGCAGCCTGTAACCTCCCCCACCACTGCCTGCCCCGGTACGGCAGGGCTGCTCTGCTCTCTCTGTTTTATTCCAGTAGCCAGTGAAGCAAAGAAGACCTGGCATGAATCACACAGTGTCATACTGTATGGAGGCACTATAGTTCGGAGACCTCATGTCCTTCTGACAAGGAGGAACAATTTGTGTTTATGTGTCAGTGTTTCTCCTTCAGGGTGTAAAAAAATAATAATGACAATCTTATATATAATATAACGGAGAGAAACAAGCGGTGGTTTGGAGGACCCGCTTCTGACAACCTTGGACCATTACCAGGCAGAGAAAGCAGAAAAGTTCCAGAGTCAAAGCTGCTCTATTATAGAAACAAAACTCTCGCTCTGCAACAGCAGAGATGCAGCTGGATCACCCATAGAGAGAGCTGTAATATTCACTACCTACTGCTTACAACAAATTCTGCCTTAACCAATCAACGTCTTCTAATGGACCTCTAATGGAGGCAGCTCCATCAATATCAATGTCAGGAGATGCCAATAATGGGTGAAGTAATGGAGAAACTGCACTGCGTCTGATCCAATAGCTTTTAGAAAGAAGTTTGCTCAGATGTTTATTAACGTAAGCATTAGGAGAGGGCAATATGTTACTGTGATTATGATAAATTGTGTCACTACATGCATTTCTTAGTATATTATGAGCAACATCAGCACTTCTACACTGCAAAAAAAATAGTATCTTAACAAGGGAAAACTTCTTAAATGTAGTGAAGGTGTCAGATTAGTTTACATGTCTTGAGAAATAATGAGGACAATTTTGCTTTTTTCAGGAAATAATGCTTAAAAGAAGTAAAATGATTTGCCACTGGAACAAGACACTTTCATAAGATAACCCTGCTTAAAAACAAGTAAAGAATGCCTAGAAATAAGTAAAATAATCTTACAATATACTTACAACAGTCTCATAATGAGAAATATTAGATATATTGACTACATTTAAGATGTTTACACCCGCTAAGACATCGTTTTCTAGTGTAGAACACTAAGCAAATTCAACCATTACAAAAAAAGATTTAAACCAAATAAATAGAGCCTGTAAACAACAACGAAAACAACCACCCGGGTAAATGCATAATTTGCATACTTGGACGTAGCTGATTGAATGTCAGCTAATTCTGACCCTTTATCTTATACTATTCAGTTACTTTTACGAATTGTTTGATTAATATCTTGTTCCTTTTTCAATAGTTCAGCTTTATAAAAGTTATACTGCATTCAAAGTTTTTCATAGCCTTCTTAAACAAGGCATTGCTGTTTTGTCTATTCCAACTAATTTGCAAACCTTAAAAACAAAATATCATAATAGAAATAAATGTTAGTTGTTGTTATGCAGTATTCTGTGGTGAAGCATTGCACAACTCAGCCTCAACAGTCTGACAGAACTCACAGTTTTATTTTGTGTTTTTGGCCATCAATGTTCTCTACAATACTGCACCTGGTTTAAGGGGAGCCTGGCCACTTCTGATT